AAAAAAAACTGTTAGTGCAATCGCTGTGGGATTAAAATGTGAAACAGAATCTAGCCGTTGTTGCTAATCACAGGGACATTATTTTAATTTATCTATTCTGTGGTACATTTCTCGGTCATCCTTTTACTTAATCCTCCAGAAATGCAATAAGGGCGTAGCTCATATATCATAGCGAGACATTATTGATATATGATCTTTGATCATTTATCAACAGCAACGCCTGTCACAGTCTGTGACACAGTGAGGACAGAGGGATGTTTCTGAGATATTTGTCATGATTTGTGACGTTCCATGGTAACTTCTATCATTGTCTGTGGATAGGTGGATGCAAAATTTTATCCTATATATTTCAACACTCCTATTATATCATGTTTCATAATAACTGTTTTAAATCATCGAGTTTAAGGCCCTTAGAAAAATTTGTATAACTTGAACAAAAAAAAAATATGAGTCAATATAACTTAATTTTATTTCAATTTCAAGAGAAATGAATGATACATCAGATTGAAATGCTTAAAAATTGAATATGGCTTTTTATTCAGGTACATCACAGAAAATAAGAATAGTTTTATACATTTTCGGCTCAGTTTTAATAGAGTAATACTTGCATCAAAATACTTGATTCAAACGAATTTCACTATATATTATGAGAAAGATTGCACGTCATTGTACTCATTAACATACTCTGCCATGTTGTTATATTTGTACAAAGTTAGCCAGAAAAGAAAATGTTGAATCCTTCAGGAAAAAGAACTTTTGAAAGTTGAGCATACCGGAACGTCGCAGTATTATTTATCTAATTTTTCTACTTAACACTTTATAGAGAATTGAATCATAAATCTTTAAAAAAAAGACTTAGTGAAACATTTATTCTGATACATCCCATTGTTCAGTCAAAGATTCAGTCATATGAAACTTTTATCTCGTTTTTCTCTAGTATAATAAAAATCAATTAAAAATGAAAATTTTACCATAAAAAGCAGCAATATGTAATGCTACTTGTGTTTGATAATGTCGAATAAGATCATCATGAGAATAATGTTCTGTAAAACCTTTAACACAAGCATTAATAAATTTTTCATATCCTTTCCATACTTTTAAATAAATATGATCATGTAGTTTAATATCATAATTGAATAATTTTATTTCATCATATAAACGTTGTTTAGTATCATATGTTTCAAGACAAAATGTACTTAATGGTAAACCTAATTTATCTGAAATTTTTTTTCTTATTGTACCAATTGTTGTTTCATTTGTAATTGATGAATCAAATAATTTAAATATTTGTTTATTAAATCCACAATGTATATAAAGATCAGCTGCTGTTTGTTGTTTTGATAGACAACGAATAATTGAACCTGATGGAATATTTAAATCACCAAAAGTCCATTTTGGTTTAAGATCACAGCCATTATAATTAAGAACAATTTTTGTTTCAGATGAATTATTATCATAAAATGATAGACCATATTCTTTTTTAATTAATTCAAGAATATCTTCAGCACGATCATTTTCATTAACATCAATTAATCTTAATGTTTTACTTGGTGGATAAAATATAAAATAACGCATTTTTTTCTCAGTTATCGATGTATCCTATTAATACCAAAAAAGAAAAACGCAAAAGAATATTCACAAGAATCTTTTCATAGGAACAAAAAGAAAATACATGACATTAAATTTTTTTTTCATATTCTAATACGATATTAATAAAAAAAAATAATGCAGCACAAAAAAAAATGTTATCTTACAATTTTAATTAGAAACTTTGGAAAAATAATCACAAATACCAATTTTTTTGTTTTTTTTTTTTGTATGTTGACTCACAATATTCAAGCATTGCTTTTTTACTTATTATTCTCACTAAAGATGTCTGTTGATAGAAGTACTTGAAAAGAGAGAAAGAAAATGAATAAAAGATGTCAACAACAACTTTGTTGTCTACATATGACATGTACAATTGTTTCGAGTTACTAATACACCCTGTCAAGAGACGCTTTTTAGTGTTAAAAGAAAATTGAGATGACGAACAAAAAAAAAAATTCGTGTAAAAATAAAAAAAGAAATTTTTAATCAGTTTAAATCGTAAATCGATTTTTTTCTTTCTCTTGACAATTATACGTATGAAATGCAAATAAATAATTAGAAAAAAAGAAAATGCTAAACAATACTAGGTAATTACGATTATTATTATTATTATCGAACAAATATGCTATAGAAAAATGAACAACATACAATGAAATCTCTATTAATGAATACCTTCCATTTTGAATCAGATCTTGGTTTCATAAAGCAATTTTTACTGAAAATGCCTTTCTCATAGACAAACACCTTCTTACTTTGAACTTGAACATTGTTTTTACACCTCCGATTGCTATTTTAACACCTTTTAAATGAATACACGTGCATTATGTTTTTCTTTCTCTCCTCTTCATTATTTCTGGCTAATGCATTGAGACTGTTGTTCATCGTTTGTTATAAATAGCATCACAAACACATCTTACATCAAATGAAAAATGGTTCATCGCAACATGAATTAACTGTAGAATTGGATATTTCACCCAGTTCTGTATCCGATATTTAAAAACGGAAAACAAAAAGGAATATTTAAATGATTATCAAATAAACCAAAATCAAAATATTAAGGCTTCTCAAAAGTAGCTCTTTTGACTACTCGAAATTCTCTGTGGGCTTTTATCCTATAGATTTAATTTTGTTTTTATTTCAAAAAAGTAAATCAAAGTGCGATGCCTGGCAGAGTCCTTTTTTTTCTTAGATTCTTACTTTTTATGTAGAAAAATAGGATGCTACGCTCAATACCTAAAAAAACTCCCAAAAAATCGTCATTTATTCATAGAAATGCTTTTTTTTATATAATTAATTCAAAAATATGGCCTCTACAGCTTCACATGCTCTTTCAAACAAACAAAAAAACAAATTGGATAAAATGAAGCTCCTTCGCATGTCCGATCAGAAAAGTATAAACAAGGAAACAGTGAACGAGATGTCAAATAAAAAAAATCATGTCGTTTATGAAAGATTAGTTCTTAGGCTATCTTCCCATGCATTGATCTCAATTTCGATTCTTTCTGACGAAAATCGACTTTTTATTTTAGGGAATGAACTTAAAGCAACGTTTATCAAATCCATATATATTGAGATCAACTTAATACATACAGGACTTTATGAAACAAAGTAAAGTTTTGTATACTGTTGAAGTTTTCGGATTTATAAATATTCAAATAAATGAATATGAACGAGACAACGAATCGTTCCTGATTACATCAAAACTAGTAAAGCAGTTTATAATTATTCTGAAACTTTTCTTTTCACTTCATAGTAAAATATATATCTTCCATAGGTGAATACCTCTTAAAGTAAATACTTTTCGAAAGTTCTACTGGTATTCACTTAAGAGTAGAACCGATCGAGTCCAAAGTTTTCGAACTCGGATCCGACAGATGCTCCTTACAAGAGGTTCTACTATATATATATATATTCAATTAGTTTGAATGTTCGAAGGATTCAGTATTTTCTATTTGAATCGAGAAAATAACCTGTGTGTAAAAAAGCCTTTGCAAAACATGTTTGGCCAACTTTCGTCTACTGATAAGGCGCTGGAGAGAACCAAAAGTAATCAGCATTTCATGCTCTTTCTAACCATATATATTCAAAATTGATTTCTGATCTAAAGTTACTTCGTCGACAACAATCCTTTAAAGAAGATCGGCAATAGTGTCTGTACAAAAGTTGTCGTGTAGTTCAATTTTGTAGTTTTTCTTTTTTTGCGTATTGCTGAGAATGATTGCAATCCATTGTGTTCTAAATACCGGCATTGGAAAGAAATGACTTTTTTGAGTTCTAGCTTACCATAATGTATTACTAGATGTCCGAAAAATTGAGTAAACCCATCAACGATTTGTTGTCAATGGACTAGCTTTAAGCCACAAAGATAATTCTTAACATGTAATTAGAAAGAGTATGAAACTTTGATTCTAGATAATTACTTTTGATTCTCTTCATTGACTTACTAATGGAAAAAAAAAACTTATCGAACATGTTGTGCAAAGACTTTTTACATGTAGGTTATATTCAAAAGCAATAATTTCAATCTATAGGAACATTCTATTGAAAGTTAGGACTAACAAAATCGTGATTTTTATTTATTTATTAATTACTAAAAATCCTTGAATCAATTAAATTAGTAGGTCGAGACAGAAATCATTTTTTTTTATCTGTTACATAATCACTATAGTATTTCTTCGGATCGAATTTACTATTGACGAGATCAAACATTTATATTGCAATAATTAAAGTAATAAACAATTTTAACAAGTCAGAAAAGGAAAAAATACTTTATCCAAGTGTCTCATATTATTTTTTTTTAATAGCAATATACTTCCTTTCTCACCTTATCGTGAACATTGTTGATTCGTTTCCACATCTTGATCTTTAATCAATAGAAAAAAAACGCCAATTTTATATAATAAAATAAATCATATTGTTATATATTAAGTAAAATTTAACATCGTATCTGATTTTTATTTCTTTTTCACTATTTTGTCTCATAATATTTATTTGTTTGACGTAGAAAAACAGAGAGAGAGAGAGAGAGAGAGAGAGAGAGAGAGAGACTTTTCTTCTTCTCGTTTAAACAGCCTCCAATATGTTGACAGAAATAGTTCAAGACAAATATTTCTTTTTTATTGATCGTCCTATATAAATTTGCAGTTTGTTTGCGTTCGAGAATCCATAAAAAAAACCTATCGTTGCTATTTTGATAGAGACAATCATTACCACACCTAAACATTTATTCTTACACATACCTATAGATACTAATGATAACAATTCGAAAGATTAATGTTTATGTTAATATTTGAACGAGCAAAATCATGAAATAAAAAATTTTGTTTATAGAAAAAGATTTTATATAAATAATTAAAATGATTGAAAATAAAATTAATTATATTAATTGATAAAAATTGTTCATATGATTAAATAAATGTTTTAGAAAGAAAATATTAATAGATTGATAAAAACAAAAAATACATTTTGTATTAATTTTATAAAACACTTCATCTTCTTTTTTTTAATATTTAAATATGCATAATAAATTTTGTTTGATCATTTTGAGTTGAAGTTCGTATAGCAAACAGCCTTGAATCATTACTTTTTTCTTTACAAATACATATAGCTATCGTCTATAATATTAGTAAACAAATTGAAACCATAGAATAAATCTTCCATAAGAGTTATTTTATTTATACATATTCCAAAGATCAATTGAAATTTGAAAAAAATATTTTCTTATCTATTTATAAATATATTGATATTTTTCTTGTAGAAGTATTTTCATAACATTTTTTTAAACTTCAGAAAATGAAGAACAACTAAGAACATTCTAATATTCATTAATAGAATGAGAGTATTTTTTAATCATCAATTTTTTTCATCATTCATTTCATATTATTATTTCTCAATAAAGTGTAGGTCCTACTCCAGATCAAACATAATCTCACCTTTACATTTTTTGATGCTCTCATCATCACTCTGTGGTATTCTTCGCTGTCAATCAGACCAATTAGTTAAAGGTGTCGTTGATAGAGCCCATCGAATTGACCCTAGACCCGATGAGCTCTAGTCGTTGACCTAGATAAGAACCAAAGTATAGTGTACAAAGCAAACAATATATATATATATATTTCACTAGTATTAATCTATTGATTCTCTGAAAACCAAGTGCTGAATATGAATGAAGAGTCGTGTAGGATCATCGAAAGAGAAATCATGAAAAATCACAACTTGACTAAAAATTGGTGATCAAAAGTACTTCTTCTGTTATTAATACTACTGATAAGGTTATGCATGAAGACTAAAACTTGATTTGTTCTATGTCAAAAATCAAGTTACTTTTTTAATAATATCTTTTGATTCTAATCAAAATTACAGTACTATTCTCAATATGTGACTTATTGAAAAAACTTTATTTGATTATTAATGAAGGAAAAAAATCAGGTATGGATATCTGTAATCAATTATCGTTTTGTTTTATTGTCCAACGAGTGAAATCAGTTAAGTTACTCGCTAATTGTTTCAATCTGTACAAAAGTATTATTTGTATTGTAGTCATTCGGATTATGATTATTCTCAAGCATTGTTTTTTTCTAATTTTTATCTATACTTATATAAATCTTATCTCTAGTGAAAATTTTCCATTTTTTATTCATGCTGATCAAGTATTTCTTAAATGTTCGAATGGTAAACTTGAATCATTGAATAATTCTACTAGTATTCATTCAACTTGTATACAAATAAAACAACATGAACAATATAGTTTGTATCAATTTTTTATTCAATGTCCTGATGGACGTTTATATCTTGAATATAATCGTATGTTGACTTTTTATGATCAAGTTTCTGAATATTCAATTGCTAATCTTGAACCAAAATGTTTTCTCAATCATCATAATCATTATCTTAAGTACAATCAATCAACTCCTTATCAAATTCGTTATACATCTGACAATGGTACATTAACACAAATAATATCATTTCAATGTTATTATAATTTAATAATGATGACAAATGAAAATTCGAAATTAAATGAAGAATTTTATTTATTTTTTAAATTAATGAACTATAGTCTTTGTCGATATTTAATTCAATTTATATCTTCAAATGGAAAATGTAATCAATATTATCAACAAATATATAAAATACAAGGTCAAATAAAAAATTCAATATGTTATTATCAATTAGGAAC